GCCGCAGTCTCCGCCCCAGGCCACCAGGGGCCGTCAGAGCTCCGCACCCCTCACCGCGCACTTCCGGGCCCGAGGGCGCGGCCACGCTCTGTGCACGCCCACACCTCGCTCCCGCCCCCACCCCACGACGCCCCGCCCACCGGCCGTCAGGGTTGCCGGGAACGCGCCTTTGCTACCCGCCCCACCCCCAGCCCGCCTCTGCCCTCGGGCCGACGTGCTTTTCAATTCTGCCGCTATCTTTAGGATAGCCAACCTCCCAGCCTGCCTCGCGCTCGGGGAAGCCGAGCTCAGGCCCAAGGCAAGCGAGGGACAGAGAGGGTGAGACGGGGGAAGGGGCGGAGCCGGTGGGAAGGGGGAGGCGGAACCTGAGGGAGGGGGAGGGCCTGTGGAAGGAGTAGGTGGGTCTGTGGGGAAGGTGAGGGATGCAAGGCGAAGGCGGGCTGGAGCGAAGTGGGAACCAGGGGGAGGCCTGTGGAGAAGGCGGCAGCCTGGAAGGGAGATAGGCCAGCAGGAAGAGGGTGGGGTCACTTCCTTTATTTTCTTATTTTGCCGCTCTGTTGCAGTGACTACAGTGAAGGCCTTTTCTACAGATTTCCTGTCCCAGTGCTTTAGACAGACATCAGAAAAGTAGAAATGCACTAGCAGACAGAGGCAGATCCTACCACAATACAATAGCTCCTCATCCGCTGCAGATATGTTGCAAGACCACTAGGGGAGTCCTAATACCGAATCTTACATGTACTGTTTTTCCTTTTCATTCATACCTATGAGTTTGTTATGAACTAGGCCATTATAAGATTAACACAATACCTAATGATAAAACAATTATAAAAATATACTGTAAGATAAGTTACATGAATGTGGCCTCTCAAAATATCTTATTCTATAATCTTTTTGGACCATATCTGTCTAGAGGTACCTATAAATGGGAAAAGTAAAACCGCAGATAAGATATTGCTGTAAAACTGTAGAACATGAACAATCACTAGGCTAACTGCCACATTTTACAGATGAAAGTCAGAGAATTAAGTTGTCCAAAAACACACTGCAGATTGGAGCCACCAGCTGAAGGTCCATTAGTTTGCCGCTAAGTCAAGCTAGAATGTAAACTGATACCAAAGAAACCAATATTTGCCTCAGCTGATTTTTTAAAATATTGGACACTGCCCAGTTGTCTATGTGTTACTGCTAAGCTCCATAGTTGTTTCTCATTTCCTGCTCTGCAAAAAGGAGCTGGAAGCATCCTCCTTTTCCTTTGACAGGTGGCCCAAGGTAACATTTTAACAATGAAAGATGCTGGGAAGCAGCGCAGGAGGATGCTGCCTGGTGCTGGTGAGCTCTTCTGGGAGATACCTGTAATCTGGGAGGCTTGTCTCACCCTTAGCCCTATATCAAGGTAGCTTCTCCAGCTCCAGATTCTCCGTAGCACCTGGCTCTTCCAATACTTGACTGCCAACGCTACCGAGAGGCCCAGACATTCCTCCAGTACTTGCCTAGGGAAGAAAATTTTATATCTGAATGCTCTGACAAGACACCCCCCCATAAACAACTTTCTTGCACTGTAGAGTGGACTTTGACCTTCTGCCAGAAGTTCTCTGCCATTCAATGAGCTGTAACTATGCTCCATCCAACAAAATCTGATATTATGTGGGGTAAGCCAGGTTTCTTCCCTGAGAACTTTAGCTCAGTCCTCAAAAGAGCAGTTACTCCTTTATTTTTCAGAATTCTCTTTATTTTTGACTAGCCAATCCCTTGTTCCCTGACCACTGTTATACTTAAATTTTTTATATTAAAACTTCCTTTAACATTGTTTCTATCTCCTGCTTGGGCAGTATTTAATACAGATATCAAAAGAATAGTTGGTTACTAGGTTTTAGGTGTACCAGTCCCTTTAGCAACAGAAGTGTCAAAAATGACCCTTTTGCACATTGACAGATGCAAATAATGTAGGGCATTTGGGAGTGACTGTTCACCCACAACTCACAAAACAGGAAGCTGGTATTTGAGGTTTTCCACTGATGTGCCTTACCATACTTATTACTTCATTATGCAGCAGATAACACTTGTGAAACGTCCCTTAGCCTATACTTTGGGAAAAACACACACTACTCCTCTGTTTTTTCTTTACTGTCACACTACTACCACACTCAACACTTCTGACACCAGATGTGGGGGTCATTTTCTCCACACTAATAAATTCTACTCCCCCCACCAGCTAGGTGTCCTACAATTTATCTCAATTCTGACACTATCTACCTGAAGTTAGCACCAGAGTCCACAAATTAAGGACCCAGACCTGTGAGCCTACCCTCACCCCATTTCAGATGTCAATTGCCAGTCCAAGTGGTCACCTCTACTGCGGACTGATGAACTATAAATTAGATGCTCCCACAACTCCCTCCTTGGGTTTGATTAATTTGCTAGAAAAGTTCCCAGAACTCAAGAAAACATTCTGTCTAGCTGTTTGTTATAGAAGGATATGATCAAGAATACGGGTAAACATTCAGGTGGAAGAGGTACTAGGACAACATATGTGGGGAGGGGCATTGTGCTCTCTCCACACGAAACTCAGGTTAAATGGTTTAAATTACTCTCAATTCTCAGTCTTAAGAGAACAAAAGGGGGGAAAAGTATCTAATATTCCCTCTGAAGTTTTTCTTCACAGATACAGTATATCTACAAATGATGCAACATGAACATGAACAGATGCCACTAACCTTGAGCTGAACCTCAAGTTAGAGGAAGCTAAAGAACAACAATACAAGAGGCAGGAGTCAGTGCAAAGAAGGGGGCATCTGTCAACACAGGAGATCCAGTTATTTGGGGAAAAAACTCCCTATGCGAACCAATTTGTAATTAGTCAGTCAGTAAACTTTAGTCAGATTCCATTTCTTTGCCCATAGCCCACTTTTTAGCTAATAAAATTGAATTCCTTTGTTTTCAGCCCCAAAGTCAACATAAATCCCCGCTCTTTACTGGATGGAGCAACTAACGGATTTGGGTTTTCCTCCTGCCTTCTTACAACAAAACTTTTCTCTCAAAAGCTGGTGCCATAATAATTGACTTCTATGCACATGATGCAGTGCACCTATTGCTTGGTAACACTGCCGTGCCACTCTCCCAGTATCTTTATGTGTGCCCTACCCAGAGCTCTCTGAAACCCATGCTGTCAGGATATTTGTGGAGGCTTCCTCACATCTCACATAGATTTGATCAACCATTAACTCCATGACTAGTCCCTCTATCGTATCTGGAAGATGGGGAGGTAGTATAGGATTGAAATCCCAAGCTTCAAATCATGGTTTGGTCTTTGCAGTGATCTGACCCACCCAAGAACTAACATTCAGACTTGCCTCATTAGAACAAACAACACTCCCATCACCCAGAAAATTCCAAGGGTTTTAGGAGTCCTATTTTAGGAACTGGGAATTGAGACCAATATATATACTTTCCACTTGCTTCATTTTCACACACACAAGCCCATACTTAAGTAACTGTCTACTAATGTTGGAAACAAATGGGAAGTAACCAATGGAGAAGCAAAGGCTATTTACATAGAACTGGCTATTACATAGGAGTCAATCACCCTCACCTGCATTTAGCAGAGCCTCAAGGGCAGACTGAGGAGAATCTTACTGTAGAGAAAAGGGAAAGGCAGCATCTTGATGCAGGGCTTCAGGCCTAGAGAAAGTGAATGATCCATGGGGTTATTTATAGGAACATGCCAAACTTTCTTCTAATCTCTTAATCTCTTTGGGTGAATGTTAGTTTTCAAGTTAGCAATCTGGAAATAATTTTCTTGTGCTGTTTCATGAAATAATGAAACTTATATACTGTAAAGGGATTGACTGTTTTTACTTGGTACTAAACATAAAATATGAGTTTAAAGTACTGCTTGCCACTCATGTGCAGAACCAAGTGCTTGCCTTCCTAGCCCAACACTCAAGACCCTTGAAGCTATAATCTTTATTACCTCAAGCCGAAATATCTAGTTCAAATAAGTCACTCCCTTTCCTGACTTACTATCTTCCCATGTGTTTTTCTTTGCCTGTGTGGGAAATATAATTAAAAACAAAATTTTCTCCCAACTAGAAATCTCTTCGCAAAACTCTAACAAAAAAAAGTTTATTGAGAATTAAGCCAGGATGTGAACATCAGGGGCAACCCATTAAAAGGCTACAAAGATAGGTAGAAATCTCGTGCTTTTATATAGCTGAGTAAACACAACTCATCATTGTGCAATTTGAACAAGTTGTACCCTTAACCACCCAGGAAACTGAGGGTTTTATATCCGTTGACAATTACATTTCACAGAAAGGGCTCCCGGGTGCTGAGTTGTGGAGAGGAGCCATCGGCATATGCATCCATTAACTACAAAAATTTGAAAGGGGCAGTGATTGGCCTCCCCCATCCTCCTAGGGGCTCCCTGCGGCGTGCATAGCAGCGGGAAAGCACCCCCAAACATTTGCTAGACTCGAGCTCCGAATCCTCACAATTCGCAATGAAAGGCGCAGGCACAGCTCCTCACCGCTACACGTCATCTCTACAGACGCTCTAGGGCGCGTATCACGTGAGCCTGCGTAAGGCTTCCGGTGGGCTGCGTGATGACGCAGGCAGCACATGCGTACTACTGCGGTCTTGGGCCGGGAAGTTCCGTGGGCTGCTGATCATCGATAGTGTCTTCGTTATCCAGTGCCATCGAGAGTTATAATCGGTGCCTGCTCTTTTCCGAAGCCGCGTAAGTGTCGCGGAGTTTGGGGGCTCGGCGATAAGCGGCATGATGGGGGCCAGGACCGCCGTAGGCGGCGTCCGGGCTCACGTGTGCGGTTGCCATGAGGGTTAAACTGGGGAGGGATCCCAGCCGTGGCTCTGAAGGTTAGGTTCGGAAAACGTGAATGACTTTGGGGACCAGCCCTGGAGTTGGGGGGTTGGGTCTGCCTTGAGAGGGTTGTCGGAGGCCCGGCTTGAATGACCGTGGTTGTTAACCTTGCAGGTGGCTGGTCACCCCACGCCTCTCGCAACACTTCTGGAAGATGCCAATCGCAGCTCCCATCTCCTGGAACTGGCCCCCGCTTTTTCTCCATTTCCGCCATTGTTTCACGAGGAACATCTTTACCGAATCGTCTGTGTCTTAATCTGTACCTCCGATGGCTTTTCTGAGCTGTAAGGTAAAGGAGAATGTGGGAGAAAGGCTGTGTCTATGTGATGGTGTGACAAGGGTCTCTCTGTGTAAGTTTAAAAGTTATACTCTACATCACTTGGTCTCAGGGAATAAAGTGAAGGCTAGTGCCTACTGTCTGAACAACTAAATAAGCGGTCTCTCCCAAGAGGCCTTCCAGCTCTCTTGAGTTTTATTTGGGCCACAGGCTCCTGGCAGGAAACTCAAGTAGTCCGGATTAAACTCCACAATTTTTCCTCCCCTCAACTTCTGGTAGAGGCTATTGGTTAATATTGGTTCTGCTATGTGTGTCAGCCACGTGAACAGCAAGCCTCCAGCGTGCTTGGGTCTGGGGTGACCCTGTGCATTCCTACAGTGCTTGCTAGAATAAGTTGAAGTGGTTTGAGGCCTTGCCCTGCTTCTATCCAGAGCAAGGTTATAGAAATTTCAGACAGCCATTTGCTGCTTTTTGTATGTGTTGAGTTGGGCATTGTATAGGTCTGTACTCTCTAGTATGGTAATTACTTGCCACATATGGTTAAATTTAGCTAATTGCATTTTAAATTTAAGGTTTTCATTCACAGTATCCATATTTCAGTGCTCAGCCACACTTGGCAAGGGGCTGCCATGTTGGATTGTGCAGTTCATAAGACATTTAAGTCTTTGCAGAAGTAGTTTGAACTTTGTGCTTGCTTTGTTCCCATCTAGTTACATTTTTTTATTTTACTGTGTTCTTAAAAGTCTTACAAATACTGGTGTGAATCTCAGAGGGAACAGGAACAGTGGAGTTAGAGTAACAGCAGGGATAACAGGAATGAATCCAGATCTGAAAGACTGACCTGTAAACATATGTCAGTAAACCAGATAGAACAATTGCTAAGTTCTGCAGTAGACTAAAAGCCCCAGGAGTTGACAGAGGGTGAGATTGGTGGGCCTTATCTTAAAGAAAGACTTTGGGATAGAAGGATATAATGTTGGCTGAGCTGTTACTTTGTGACAGATGCCTTAAGTTTTCACTGAGTTAAAATTTTTGAGGATACTGAGGTGATCTTAGTTTCAGTAAAGATGAGAAACCCATGGTCAAGATTATGTGTTAAGGCTTACCCATCCAGATGTGATCCAGTCAGGATTGGACACCAGGTATCTCAAACCTTAAAGTCTCTGTTCTTTTCCAGGATGCCAGGCTGGAAAGGAGTGGAATGCCCTCGTGTCCTGCCCTGGTGTGCATCAGGGATAGGCAGGATGGAAAGTGTGGTCACAGTAGGGGCAGCACATTTGTGTAACGCTCAGGCCCTGGGTCATACCTTGTCACCTTTGAAGGTGAAGGATGTCAACAGATATGGATGCTGAACACACCAGCTTCTGGGAGCTATTGTTGGGAGACACTTCTCTGCAAATCTCCTGTAGCTCTGTTCTCTGCAGCCACCTTCTCCCCATAGGCTTGGTTCTGTGCCCCTGCCCCATGTAGTCTGTCTTCCCCCAGTGTTTCAGCAATAAAATTCCCAACATGCTAAAGCTAAAAGGTGTGAGCACTGAGCTACCAGGCTGTTCCACGGGATTTCTGCAGTGGTGAGTATGCAGCAAGCTCTGGCCTAGCAAAGTCACTGCATTTCTGTGTTATGTTAGTTTTCCATGAGCCCCCAGCCAAAAAATATTTCAAAGCCATCAATTTACTTTGTCCTGAATTATAACTTGAGTATTTGAATTCCAGAAAGGTTCATTACCTTGAAGCTTAAAAGACTACTTTATGGACGTTGTCTCAAATCTGATTTTTTTTTTTTTAAGATATATTTGTTTATGCATATAAAACAGGTACAGGGACAGTGAGAGGATTCACCAGAGACAGTGGGGAGCAGAACAGGCAGACTGACAAGATACATTGCTAAGTGGAGCAGTGGGCGGGTCAGGAGAGGTCTGCCGCACCATGTGGGTCACGTCTGAGGCTGGGGATTGGCTGGGGACTGGGGATCGGATCAGCTGGCTGGCTGGAACTCTCTGAAGCTACAGCTCACTTTCAGTGCTGATCTTTAACCCTTTGCACCACCAGGGAGGGGCCCTTGAATCTGATTCTTAAAGCCCTTGTGGTTTTGGGTTTGATCTGCTGCCTTTTCCCTGGGAAATTTTCAAACTTACTGTTGAAAGTCTGTTGGAAAGGGCAAAGTATGTCACAGTAGCCCCAAGTATCTGTTTATGTGACTTAATTTTCACAGCAGACCTGAGTTCTGAGAGGTTATAGCCTATCCATGTTGGCACACTAAGTGAGGGCAGCAGAATTTTAACCCATTGCACTCTGGCTCTCTGAGCTGGTTCAAAGCCTCATTCCCTCTCTAGTAGAAGTGGGAATTTCAGGTTCTTGGCCCTGGGGTGAGGTATGAGAGGCTCAAGGTCTGGCATGCCTTTCTAACTGAAGTTCTCTGACCCCAGGCTTTGGCACCATGTTGTCTGCTTCCAGAATAAGGATCCTCTGCATCGGAACCCCAGGCCCTGTAATATCTTTGTGTGATCAACAAGGAATATTTAATAAAACGTTTTCAGTGTGTGATGCAGTCCTGCCTCAGTTCTTTTCATGTGCTAGATAACAAAGGAGGGAGATCTGCTGTTGAAAGAGTTACGGCCAAATCTCAGGACTCCCTAGTGTCTCTGTTAGCATTATTCTGCCTTCCGTTAATTGTGAAGTAGGTGGGTGATGGAGGCAGAGATAACATTTCAGTAGCTGTATAAGTTTCCTGGAAAGGGTGCCTTGCCTTGGTGGCATTATCTACTTGGTTTTTTCCGCTGGTGTAGGTCGGGTGGGGGAGGTTCAGGCTCTAGTTAGCAAAACAAAGGATTTGGTGGAGCTCTCACTCCGCTGGTATAGATCAATTTACATACAAATTCTAAGTGAATACAATGGAAGACAAGAAACTGAGAAGGGATGGAGGGTGTTGAAACTGGGATCTACTGCAAAGTTCAACCTTAGAAGAGAGCCTGGGTGGGATTTTGAAGTTGATCTAGATAAGATAGCAATGAAACTTCTCTCCAATCTCCAAGGGGCCCCCTCGCTATCCTGACCTGCCCATCCACCTATTTCACTGTGGCCACTGCCCTAACTTGTTAAATCCAGTAAGGGTGTGTCCTGAGGAAGATGAAAATAAGGCCACTGTTTGTCTTCCCTGAGACAATATGAAGTCTGGTGACATTTGGCCAGACCAAGGTGGGAAAGAACTTCCCTGGTATGATGTCATCTGCCTCAGACAGTGGGTGGCAAGTCCCTTGTGCAAGCTATCAGGATGGGGAAAGCACAATCATGACTAGACAGCCTCAAGATCACAGGGCAGCTCTACCCACACAGCCAAATCTCCAAAGTGGTCACACAAAAATCTCAAAAGAACCCAAAGAAGGTTCTGGTTCACCATTCCTGAAGATTGACAGGAACAACTAAGTTCCTTTCAAGTATTGATGTAATAGAAACAGGAGGGATGACAGCTAGAGGTCAAAGAATTGAAACCTTTGTTGGGGGTGGGGAAAGTTTGATAACTCCCCTGATGCCTGAGCTTTGATTTGGAAAGCCCTTTACCTCACCAGCCCAAGAGTCAGTCTATGGGGCTTAGAATAAAATGACCCAGGTTTGCTCTAGAGGAACCCCAGGGTGTTCCCTAAGCTTCATCTAATGGGAGCGTATTTGGGTGCATCACTGCAATGCACAGTTCTATCAAGCAGTAGTTTCCAATACTACTAGGTATGGCTTAAGGTATGTTAGGGGCGGAAAGTGCATGTCATTTATTTCAGATTTAAAGAGTTGAAGACTATTACTAAATTCGTGTTTTGAGGGTTAGAGTACAGACTCCCAAAAGTGACACTTGTTTGGCAGTACAGGCTTCCCTGTAGTCATGAAAGTTGTATGGAAACAAATTGGAGTTGACCAGTCAGAATAGGAAGACACACCACCTCTGGTGAGTGAAGACCAAAGTGGGGCAGGAGGATTCCTAGTGCTGTTCCTGATCCTTAATGCTGAAGGGATGGATGGGTGTACCTGAAGGACATATGGGAACCTTCCAGAAACATCCATGAGTCCCAGAGGACATTACTGGGAATGGAGGCATGACGAGTCCGGACCATAGCCTGTGTGGCAGGTCAGATGAGCAGTTGGTTTTGTCATTTACATCCCAGCATGGTCTTTGCACACATTTTACAGAATGTTATTGCCTAGGCCCTGCCCTCAGATCTGTGCATCAGCATCTTTGCACTTTTACTTATGGCAATGTACCAGCCTTAAAGTCCACACAGTGGAGGTCTGAGAACTGATAGACACAGAAGATTAGATAACCACAACCATGTGGAGACTCCTTCCTTCAATTCCACTGATGACCCCACTCAGGGAGGAGCTGGGAAACTGAGTCTCTGCTGCTGGGATGAGGGGTGACCTTAGAGATCATGGAGAGATAGTGCTTACTAAGGAGCCCAACAGGAAGCCCCCAGTGCCTCAGTCTCAACTGCTAAGCATGCTCACACTCACTCTGAGATACAAGAACTAGGAAGTAGAGGTCAGAGCTTGGGAGGGAGTAGTAAGTACAGAGGGCTGCACCTCCCCTCCCAGAACCACTTCCTACTTGCACTGGGAGGTGCAGAGAGGCCTGAGCCAAGAGACGAGACTGAGACGTTGGGGCAACCTGGTCAGGGTGCTTCCACCAGCGCGATGGAGGACGAGGAAGGACCTGAGTATGGCAAACCCGATTTTGTGCTTTTGGACCAAGTGACCATGGAAGACTTCATGAAGAACTTGAAGCTCAGGTAGACCCAGGACTCCTGTCCACCCTTCTCCCTGGCCCCCATCACCACTGGTCTCCGTCAGACGGGTGAGGAGCACACATACATCCATGGACACCACTGTCTGGATACCACACTGGAAATAACAGGAAGGACTGCCTAGTGGCCACTGTGCTGGACTGATCCCCCAGGTCCCAGCCTCCCACATAGCCCAGGTGCCTTGTGCCTCTTCCCGCCTAGCAGGGCCAGGCTGGTGTCAGGCACCCAGACTGGGCAGATGCTGCTCTCCAGTGTGGGTCTGTGCTGAGCCCTGGGGGCTCAAAGGGAAGCAGGCAGGTCCTGGGGGTAGAAGTGGATAAACCGAGATGATTCAGGGTTTCAGTTGGTAGAAGTAACATAGGGCCCGGTTTGCTTTGGAGAATGGCTGACAGCAAGGGAAGAACTGGGACCAGGTGGTGAGATGAGGTGGCCAGCAGGAGCCCACTTATTTCCAGGCCAGCCAGGGGAACTGCTTGACATGTAGAATTTGGGGAGAACCACCAAGCCCAGATTGTAGGAGGTCATAGACCTGAGCCAAGGCTAAAGCTATAGGATAGAGGGAAGGATCACACAGAATTTCAATTCTGGGACACAAAGCAAAGTATGGTTTCACTTCATTCTTGAAATCCCTAGCTAGGGATGCCTATTACCATCTCAGGTCAGCTTGCAATGAGGCAAGCATGTGGGGGTGGGGAAAAAGCAGTTGAGGTTGTAGAGGAAGCCCAGTTGTCACTGGGGTAGGAACAGGAAGAGAAACCCAGGGTGGGCCATCTGAGGAAGGGAGGCCCCAGACATCAAGCAGAACAGCTTGGCAGTGCTTCCCCCAAGGGGGGGAAATGAAGCCTATGACAGACTCAGGTACTATCCTGCTTGACCAGGTTTATGCCAAGGGAGAGGCAGCAGCTGCTACAGCCTCAGACCGCCCCCCCCCCCACCTCTGTAGGGTGTGGCGGTCTGGGAGTAGCTGGGCAGGCCACGTGTCTTCCTGGGGGCTTCCTGCTCAGGCCTGGAGATCTGAAACTGCCTAAGCATGCCCTCTACCTGCCAGCTCCTTTTTCTTTCCATTTTCAACTCTGGCTCCTCAACTGAGGGCCCTGCCTGGATCTAGTCAGTCCCCTTCAGAAAATGGATAGTGTGATTCCTATGACATCAGGACCCCCTTGGAAGCAGAGTGGATGCCAATACTACTATAATGGGGTTGGCTCACAGAGCCCCAGGACCCTGCGGTGACACCAGAACCTTAGATCACCTCTTACCCCTACTCTGCTCCAGCTCTGGGAGTGGGCCAGGGCACCTGAGGCTTCCCACACAGGCCCAATGCCCCAGGACATGGGTGTCCCCATGGCTCGTGAGGTCTGAGGACTGGTCCTGCCCATACCAGGTTTGAGAAGGGCCGCATCTACACCTACATCGGGGAGGTGCTGGTGTCCGTGAACCCTTACCAGGAGCTACCCCTGTATGGGCCGGAGGCCATTGCCAGGTACCAGGGTCATGAGCTTTATGAGCGGCCACCCCACCTCTATGCCGTGGCCAACGCTGCCTACAGGATGATGAAGCGCCGGTCCAGGGACACCTGCATCGTCATCTCAGGTACCTGCCCTGCTTCCAGAGCCCAGGGGCTGGCTGCAACCTCCCTGGGACCTCAGTGTCTTCGTTTGTAAATACTGGGGAAGTAACTGGACACCTGTTGTGAGGGGTGGGCACAGGGAATTATCAAGGGCAAGAAGTCACTGACTCTGTCTTTCTGTCTGGCAGGGGAGAGTGGGGCAGGGAAGACAGAAGCCAGCAAGCACATCATGCAGTACATCGCTGCTGTCACCAACCCTAGCCAGAGGGCCGAGGTGGAGAGGTGAGGGCAGGGAAGGCTGGGATCAGGGGTGTCCTGGGCCTCGTGCCTTGGGCCCAGGAACCAACAAGGAAGCAAGAGCTGCAACTGAGGCCAGCTCATGTTCAGGGGGCTTGTCTGTCAGGAAGGTTCCAGGTGACTCCTCACACTGGCAGAGGTAAGAGGTGGCTGGCCCTCACACAGGCCCTCTCAACCAGGGAGAGTGCCCTGCTTTTAGGACGAGAAGAAGGTAAAACACAGGTGGTGAACTTTTGTGCTGGTCCCTTCAGGGACACCATACAAATAGAGAATCTGGCCAAATGATCGGGAAGATTAGGGATGCTAGGAGGGGTGTCAGCATTTGGGCCAGGAACCTGGAAGTCAGGGCCCATCTACCTGCCTACACACTTGCTACGCATCAGTGGGGACTTGTGGGAGCAGCTTTCTGTGTGGGAGCCCTAGCTCTTCCTGTCAGATGAGGTGAGTTAAGGTCACAAGGGCAAACAATGGAAGTTCCTGAGCTCCTGTGACTGGCAGCTGCCCACCTCTGCAAGTGGAGGAGGTTGGCAGAGTATGCAGACACAGCTCCTCACTGCAGGCTGAGGCTGCAGTCTTAGAAGGTGGGAGGGACCATGCACATACACAAGGCCTTCAGGGACTCAGCATTTTACATCAAACACAAAGCCACCTGCCAAGCATATTGCCCAGCATACTAGAGTTCAGGGCCATTCCACAGCCTGTCAGGGGCAGCTCAGGAGTGAGGCCAGGGGCCTCCCTGGTGGTGCCAGAGGTTAAAGAACAGCACTATAAAGCTATCTGAATGAAGCCTCTGCAGCATGAGTTCCCATCCCTGGCCAGGGAACCCACAAGTCACAGCAGACCTCTCCTGTCTCACCTGCTGCTCCCCTCAGCAGTGTATATCAGT